CTACTTGTCACTATAGATGAATCTACAGTTTTTAGAACTTTATGTAAATTGAATCACAGAGTATATGTCTTTTTCAGCTGGCATCTTTCACTCAGCATAATCATTTTGATATGCACCCATGTTATATGTGTCAACAGTTTATTTTTATTGCTGAGATGCACCGTAATTTATTTATCCATTCACCTGGTGATGGACATTTGGGTTTCTTTCTTTCTTTCTTTTTTAAGATTTTTTAAATTTATTTGACAGAGACAGAAAGAGAGGGAGTACAAGCAAGGGAACTTGGGGAGGAAGAAGCAGGCCTCCTGGGTAGCAAAGAGCCCAACAGAGGGCTCGATCCCAGGACCCTGAGATCATGACCTGAGCCAAAGGCAGATGCTTAACGACTGAGCCACCCAGGCGCCCTGGACATTTGGGTTGTTAACAGTCTTCGACTATTACAAATAAAATTGCTATGAGCCTTTGTATGGACATATACTTTCATTTCTTTTAGGTAAATATATGGCTGCAGAATGGCTGGGATAATATAATACATGTTTAACTTTTTTTTAAGATTTTATTTATTTATTTGTCAGAGAGAGCGAGAGAGCACAGGCAGACAGAGTGGCAGGCAGAGGGAGGAGCAGGCTCCCCTCCCCGCCAAGCAAGGAGCCGGATCTTGGACTTGATCGTAGGACGCAGGGATCATGACCTGAGTTGAAGGCAGATGCTTAACCGACTGAGCCACCCAGGCATCCCTACATGTTTAACTTCTTAAGAAACCGTGAAACTGTTTTCTAAAATGGCTATACCTTTCTAATTTTCCACAAGCAGTATGAGAGTTCTAGTAACTCCACATCCTCATCAACACTTGTTACTGTGTTCTTAATTTTAGCCATCTTAACTGTGCACGCAATAATACCTCATTGTGGTTTTGATTTACATTTCCTTGATGACTGGTGATGGGCTGAGCATCTTTTCATGTGTGAATTTACCTTCCATAAGTCTTCTTGGTGAATTGTCTGTTCAAATCTTTTCTCTCCGACCTTTCCAAAAATTGAATTTTGTTTTCTAATTAATGGGTTTTTAGAGTTCCTTATATGTTCCACAAATCCTTTATCAGAGATCTTTTGACCTATGGCTTGCCCTTTTTATTATTTTAATGGTGTCATTTGAAGAGCAGAAGTTTTTATTTTAATAAAGTCCAATTTGTCAAATTGGGGGGAGGGTGTTATAGTTAAGAGATCTTTGCCTAACCCAAGGTCATAAATATTTTCTCCTAGAAATTGCATAGTTTTAGGCCTTAAATTAGGTCTATAATCTATTTTTAAGTTAATTTTTGTATTTGGTATGAGATGTGGTTTGATTTTTTTTTTTTTTTTTTGCATATGGATATCCACTTGTTTTAGCACCATTTGGCAAAAATGACTATCCTTTTTTCCATGGAGTTGGCTTTTCATCTTTGTCAAATCTCAGTTGTCCTTGTATATGTGACTCCTTATTCTATTTGCATGATCTATTTGTCTATCTTTGTGCCCATACCACATTATCTAGACTGGATTTTAAGTTTCTCCATGATGGGAACCATGTTTTGCGTATCTTCTTGTCCAACCAACTTTACCAATTGGCTACTTTGAGTATAGTAATCAATATAATTATTGTATTGAAAAAACAGAAACCTTGCAACAACCACTTAACAAACAAATGTGGAGTTGAAATCACAGTTTAAAGAGTATTTAATGTTTTGAAATATTTCTGTGTTTGCTTTGACTCCCTATACATTAAACATTTTTTCAAAACTAATTTTAAATGTGTGTGTGTGTGTGTGTGTGTGTGTGTGTGTGTATAACCACACACATAAATATATGTTTTCTTTTTAAAATTAAGCCACGGGGGTCCCTGGCTGGCTCAGTCAAAGCAGCATATGTCTCTTGATCTGGGAGTTATGAGTTTGAGCCCCACGTTGGGTATAAAAATTACTAAAAAAAAAAAAAAAGCCTTAAAAAAAATTAAAGCCAAAATCCCTTTGGTGATTTCCCCCAATCTTTCACCCATGCATTCGTTGTTTGCTGTGCACCCTTCTGGACCCCTTTCTAGTGTACTTTCACAAGTATTTATATTTTCTACTGGTTTGAGATAGTTATTCCTGATGTCACTTTAACCTTTATCTCATACTTCCCAGCAGTGTATCCCTTTGGATTACATTCTGAGAGGATTTGAGTTTGGGTTCACTATTGCCTTCTTTATCTGTCTTTATTCTGTTTTTAAATCCATGTATCTAACCCACACACACACAATTATATTTTTATTTCTAAGATCTCTAAGGCCATTTTTTTCATGGTTGCTCTTATTCTGAAACTGTTCTTGTTTTATGGTTATCACATTTTCTCTGAATATTTTATGTTATTTTATTTTATTTTAAAGATTTTATTTATTTATTTGACAGAGCAAAACAGTGAGAGAGGGAACACAAGCAGACGGAGTGGGAGAGGGAGAAGCAGGCTCCTTGCAGAGCGGGGAGCCTGATGCGGGGATGCGATCCCAGGACCCTGGGATTGTGACCTGAGCCAAAGGCAGATGCTTAATGACTGAGCCACCCAGGTGCCCCCCTGTGAATATTTTAATTATACTTAACTTGAAAGTTTACTCTGACTCCTTATGAACTCTGCTTCTTCAGATGTATGTTTGGGTACATGGATACTAGACTTTTGAGGAAGTGTCTGGAGGGAAGATAGTACTGCTTCCCCCTGTTGAACTCCACGAACTGTAGGGAGAGTTAGGAAGGGCAGCACGCTTGGAGCATGGTTGTGTGGGTGCCCCCTGTTCCTGCTGGGCATTCTGAGCCCCTGGAGCACTGCCTTCCCCCTCATACCCAAACTCCTCTAGTCACTGCTCTTACCTGAAATATGTACTAGGTGGGTGGGTGGCAGTGGTGCACAGAGTTTATCTGTTGGCTTTTCTCATTATGATTCTCCAAATAACAACCCTGTTTGTTGTCTTCATGTCCCTCCCTGTTTGGGCTTCTACCAGTTCTACCTTCTGTAGCAGAACCCTACCATTCCTAGTCACGGGCTGCAGGTTCCCTCTTCAATCTGACTTTGTGTCTCTTGGGGTTTTCTCTGTGATCTGGCAACTTTGAGAGGTGGTGGTGGTTGTTTTGTTTTAAGCTCAGATATTCATGTTTATTTGTTCATCTATTTATTTACGGTTTATACCTTTTCTGTTAACTTTTAGGGATTCGCTGTGGGAGGGAAGGTTGTGACATGTTACCAGTCTGAAAATTATAAAACTGGAAGCCCTGTTTTCTTTTTTAATTTATGTTCTGCTTTTGCTAAGATTGACTTGTAATGACAATGCTGTGAGTGAGTAGCATATAATGGCTGATGAAGAAGAAGCTGCTGGTGACTTGTTTGGGTGTGTTTTTTCTAAAGAAGCATTATTGTTTCTATAGTATATCATCAGCAGATTGTTGAACTGGGTTAAGTTGAACTGGAAAAGAGTGTGTGGGTAGGGCGGGAGTAAAATGTTGCTTATAATAGAATAGCAACAGTGCACATCTGAACCTGCTTACTTTTTCTTTTTTTTTTTTTTAAGTTTTATTTATGTATTTATTTGACAGGGATTACAAGTAGGCAGAGAGGCAGGCAGAGAGTGAGGAGGAAGCAGGCTCCCTGCTGAGCAGAGAGCCCAATGGGGGCCTCCATCCCAGGACCCTGGGATCATGAGTTAAAGCAGAGGCTTTAACTCACTGAGCCACCCAGGCCCCCCGAACCTGCTTACTTTTTCTTTATTCAGTTATTGTTTTACCTGAAATTTGTGTGTTTACCAAAACCTACTGCAATTTTCAAACATCAAAATATTATATATAGGAATGAAATTCACTAAGATATCATCAGGTATTAATATGTGTTTAAGACAGTTGTAGAGACTTAGAAAAATTTATTAGTTGCAATAAGGGAAAAAAGAATTACTTTCCAGTCACAATTGAATTAGATTGGGACCAGGGCCTGAGAAGAATGTAAGAGGGTTTGTCAGAAGGAAACTAAAAAGAAATTCATGTGCATTGGAAGTGTATTTTCATTTCTTTGAATATATTCCCAGCAGTGGAATTGCTGGGCCGTATGGTGACTCAGTGTTTAACCTTCTGAGAAACTGCCAGACTGTTGAAAGCACATCATTTTACGTTCTCACCAGTAGTGGATGCAGGTTCTAATTACTCCATAGCCTCACCAACACTTGTTATTGTTTGTCTTTTTTATTATAACCATTCCAGTGTGTGTGAAGTGGCATCCTGTTGTGGTTTTTGACTAGTATTTTTTGGATGGCTAATGATGCAGAGCATTGTTTCATGTGCTTATTGGCCATTTTTGTATCTTTGGAGAAATGTCTCTTTAGATCTTTTGCCCGTTTTTTGTTGTTGTTGTTGTTGTTGTTGTTGTTAGGTTGTTTTTATTATTGAATTGTAAGAGTTCTTTGTATATTCTGGATATTTGTCCCTTTCTATATATGTGATTTGCATAAGTTTTCTCCCATTCTGTGGCTTGTCATCACTTTCTTTATAATGTCCTTTGAAGCACCAATGTTTTAAATTTTGATGAAGTCCAAAATTGTTCGTTTGAGGCATAACTCAAATGAAGAAGCATCTCTTTAGGGCATAGAGAATCTGATGATCTAGACAAAGAAGACATTGCTTTGGAATGCTAAGACTGGATTTCTTCCCCTCACACTCTGCTCCAGGAAAGCTCTACTTGTCACACGCCAGATGTGCTTCTTGTGATACGGAGTTGGACAGGTTTTCTGCCCTCTGGAATGCTGTGACAGGTAGCGAGACAGCATTTTTCAGTGTTCTGCACTTCCCAAAAGGCCCCTGAGTGAGTGGCGTGAGGTCGTCAGCAGTCTCTGTATCTGGAAGAGTGGCAGTGTCTGTGAATCATAAATCACATCTGAGGTGGAAGTGAAACTCCTCTAATTAACCACTGTGAAAGCAACTCACCCTCATTCTCGTTTTGTGGTTTCTCTAGTTCTGGACTTCAGCGATCCCTTCAGCACTGAGGTGAAGCCCAGAATCCTGCTCATGGGCCTGAGGAGAAGTGGCAAGTCATCTATTCAGAAAGTTGTTTTTCACAAAATGTCTCCCAACGAAACGCTGTTCTTGGAGAGCACAAACAAGATCTGCCGGGAGGACGTTTCCAATAGCTCCTTTGTTAATTTTCAGATTTGGGACTTCCCAGGACAGATTGACTTTTTTGACCCTACCTTTGACTATGAGATGATCTTCCGGGGAACAGGAGCGCTGATATTTGTCATCGACTCCCAGGTAAAGTTCAGTCTCGGGGTACATGGGACTGCAGGCCCCTTCTCCCCCACCTGACACAGTCCCTCCCATGTTCATACCAGTTCCTTTGTAATGTTTTTTGTTTGTTTGTTTTCAAGAATCAGGAATAGCCCTTTATACCCAACAAGGTCTCTCAGTGGGGGCTCTCAGGGTTGCAAAGGGGAAAAGTCTCCCTCTGTGGAACCCTAATCAGTGAGCAGTGAGCACTGTCAGGGCATTGTGTACGTCTCAGCAAATCACAGAAACCTTAGAGATGGAGGGGGCCACCATACAGGCCAAGGACAGCAACTACATGTCCCCTACCTGCCCCCCTACTCTGGACAGACATCTGTAAAACAGCACAGGTTTTCTGCAACAAAAATATGCATATAAATCTGCATTTTAAAATGGTTACTCTTTCCTAGGAAGATAAAGTTCTAACTGTGAAGGTTTTCTTTTGAATTAAATTATTTTAATTATTAATAGTATACAATTGATTGACAGCATAACTGTTATGTGTTTTAGAGGTAACTATTAAAAATAAAAAGTAAAAATTGGATTGATAAGTATACGTCTTAAGACAATGGATGTTTTCCCACTTAATTCACCTATGCATGCTTGAATAAGACAGAATTTGGCATAAGTTCTATTTTTGATTGTGTCAATGTGAGCGCTGAGAAATCTTGTTCGCATAAATAAGTAGATGGATATGGGGTGAGTTTTGTTATAGCATTCGCTCAATTATTTAAACTCTTTCCAAGTTACATCCTGTAAATTGCCCAGTTTTCTATCACTAAGGCTTGTTTTTAGTAGTTTATCAGTAGACATCCTGATTGGGCTTTCCTTTAACTTTGCTGAAAGCAAAGATGTGGGGACCCCCTGACTGGTGAAGGGCCTTTGTACCCAGAAATCAGTTATTCACTTTATTAGGATACCGACTAGTCTTGTGAATTGTCTCTTTGGTCCTCTGGGCCTTTCACCTGTGAAGTGGGAGCCAGCAGTTGAAGGGGAGGAGTGGGGAGGGAAGCAGCAGACTACAGGTGCATCTCAGGCATGCCCGTCTTAGGAAAGAGTACAGGGAACAACTGGGACAATGACACTCTTCAAACTCTCTGTGTCCAGGCCCTCTTAGAAGGTGTCCCCGAAGGCTCTCCCAAGGGCTCTCTTTTAGAGCTGTGGGGGATAAATGGCAGTGAGTCCTTCCAGGAATGCACTAAGCAGCTCTAAGTTCAGGACATGCTGTTTTCCTGAAACTGGGCCTGCAGTCAGACAGATGGGCCGAGCACACCTGCCTTTTCCAGGAGTGCCGATGGAGTTAGGGAGGCAGGGATATGTAAGCTGTTAGTAATAATGGTTCTGAGCCCGTACTTGGAAACCCCTTCTCTGAGAAGACTGCTCCTGCCTGAGCTCATCATAAACTCATTCAGGGAACCAGGTGCCTGTTTAATACAGTAATGAAGCCTTTTCGTTCCAAGTGATTGCACTGCATAAATACTTCCAGTGTTGTTGGTGGGAGTGTGGCCGTCCGGAGGAGTGGCTCGCTCTTTCTTTCCTGGTGGTGGTGCGCAGGGAAAAGACTTATTCCAGCACCGGATCTGTGAACAGCAGTGCCTCCCCTCCCCTGGGCCCATCTGGAAAAGCACGCTTGTAGACACCTGCATCAGGTCCAGGTCCTGCCGCCAGTCGCTGCTTTCCTGGCTGTCCCGCTTGTACTGACCTGTTTTCTGGCCCATCTGTGGCCTTGGCAGTAGGCCCTGCCTTCCTGCCTATGTCTGCCAGCACAGAGATGAGGGAGCTCGGGCGGACAGGAGGAGCCGAGCAGCTGGGTGCGGGCTGGGGCAGAGGAGGGAGGGTGGCAGGGCTGACGAGCCCTTGGCAACGTCCCACTCACCTGTTTCTTCTAAGCTCCAGTGTTTTCCCTAAGTCACCGGGCTGCTGCTTCTGTAGTTGTTGAACGAGGTAGCAGCACCAGTAGCCTGACCCTCCGGTAAGGAGGTTGCAGTCAGATGACTCATCTTCTCAAGACAGTGGCTTAATAAGTACTCACTTCAGTACTGTATTGTGCTTCTATAGCAATTGGCATTTCTAGAATTCAAATGTCTAACGCAACTCTATCCTAGGTGTTTGTACTGTGGCTGTACGGTGGCTAAAAAAGCTTTGCTTGCTTATTTTTAAGTTGCCACTGTAATTTGGTTTTAATTTTACCTGAACATGAAAAGCAGCCCTTCAGTTTGAGCTGGTAAATGTGTGTTTTCTTTTATTTTGTTTCTTGTGTTTGTTTTTTTTTCTCCTAGCTTAAGGTCAGAGAAAGACGAATGTTTGAGAAATTTGTCTTTTTAAGTCCCACTTTTAAAAAGGGCGGAAAAACATTGTTGAGAGCTATCATTTACTAAAAAGGAGGAATAATGAAATAAGCTATTTCAGAGTCTGTGTAATACATACTTTTGCTTTGGAAGCAGACTGCAAAAAACATGTTTTCAGGGATTTTTATATGATGTAATTACAAGCACTGAAAAGAAACTTAAACTTCAGGCAGTCTTGGCAGGCACTCGGACGTCATTGCCTTTATTTCTAAACAAGGCTCTGTTGGTCTGACGCCTCATATTTTTATTTTTTCCTTGTGAATTCCTCACAATCACAGGATTGCCAGATAAATACATCACCAAGGAGAAAATGTGTCCTCACAGAATGTTGTAAAATGAAGGAGCATGAAAGCATCCAGAGTGATTTCCTGTGAGCTACCCGTAGGACACCACCTTCCCCCCAGGCAGAGCCTACAACATGTCCCACACCCCCCAGGGCCACCCTTGGCCCCCCTGAAGCCATGTCACATGGGCCTTGGGATCCACAGTGGAGGGTCGGCTTCCTCTACATTGGTGATTGTGACCTGCCTGTAATTCCTAGATCTAATTTTGGAATAGGAATGAAGGTGGTATGTTTCTCCTGTATTTTTATTTGTTGTAGAAGATAGTAACAAACACACTGAGAAAAATCAGCCACGCCCCCTCTGTTACAATGACGCAAGTATTTTCTTCTTTCAGATGTTATTTTTGTCCTGGTAGGTATGTGCCACTTCATCACTTGGTTGGTAGTCAGATAATTTTATACGCCTGGCAGGGAAGTTACAGTAATAGCTTCTAATCTTTTGAGATGGTGATACTCTCTTGACATTGGCTAGTTTTGCTCATAGATGTGTCCCCTTAACTCCCCTCTTCAGTTAAAGACGTAAACAAGGGGAGCCTGGGTGGCTCAGTGGTTAAAGCCTCTGCCTTCAGCTCAGGTCGTGATCCCAAGGTCCTGGGATAGAGTCCCGCATCGGGCTCTCTGCTCAGCAGGGTGCCTGCTTCCTCCTCTCTCTGCCTGCCTCTCTGCCTACCTGTGATCTCTCTGTCAAATAAATAAAATAAAAAATCTTAAAAAAAAGACAGTAACAATTACATATGATAAAATGCATTCATTTTGAGTGTACAGTTTAGTGAGTTTGACAAATTCATATAACTTGTAACCACTTTACAGTTAAGATGTAGAATATTTCTGCCACCCGGAAAGCTTTCTTTGTTGTCCTTTCTCAGATGGCCTCCCCCTGAATTTCAGGACATTGTAAATGAATTCTGTATGTTGTTTAGGGATACATATGTATGTAGTACTGGAGAAAGAGATGATTGAGAATAAACACTAAACTCAGGATAGTGGATACCTCTGGAGGGTTGGGGGTAGAGTGATGGGGTGGGCTGGGAGAATGGGGAGAGACACTCAGGGATTCAGTGTCTACTGTTTTTTTTTTTTTTTTTAAAGTTTATGTATTTAATTAATCTCTACTCCCAATGTGGTGCTTAAACTTAAGACCTCGAAATCAAGAGTCACATGCTCAGGGAGCCTGGCTGGCTCACTTGATAGAGCATGCAACTCTTGATCTCACTGTTGTGAGTTTGAGCCCCATGCTGGGTACACAGATTACTTTAAAAAAAAAAAAAAAAAAAAGACTTGCGAGGTCCTCCAACTGAGACAGCTAGGCATCCCTACTGTTTGATTTCTTAAACAGGAAGATGCAAAAGCAGATGTTCATCATATTATTATAAAAGTGTCATTGGTAAGGAGGAGAGAAAAATAGTATTGCGTTATTTGGGTCAGTTACTCATGATCAGAGGTCAGCAAACTGTTTCTGTAGAGGGCTAGATGGTAAGTGTTTTAGGCTTTTCAGGCTGTCTGTACTATCTCCAAGGGGTCTCGTCAGAGGAACACCCTTCAACTCTGCCACTGTACCACAGAAGCAGCCATAGATGGTATGTAAATAGATGAGCGTTCCAATAAAACTTAACTTATAAACAACACACAGTGGGTCCATTTTGGCCCTCGGGCCATGGTTTGCTGACCTCTGATCTAGACCATGCTCTTATCTTTCCTTCTGGCTCCTTCCCCATCCTCCCAGTGACCCATATCACATTTCCATCTCTAACTGTTCATCACAGTTCACCCAGGGACTCAAAAATCGGGGAAGAATAGTATCCCAGGGAAGGTTCTAGGTGGAAGGGGGACATTTTGAATTCAGAAAACCGTAACGCTGGTCTTAATGACTGTCATCAAGTTACTACGTAACTGCCTACAGCTGTGTTTTTCCAGCCCTTTTCATCTCTTTGTTCATGAAACTTCAGTTTCCAAACTTGAATTCCATGAAACCAGCTCTTATTTGGGCTTTTGCAAACTATTTTGGAGGATTGTACCCACATGGTTTCCAGATTAGGAGTGAGTATGAAAGGGAAAAAAAGGTAACTGTGAAGTAAGGTGATAGATAGATTAATTAACTTGGTTGGGGGGGATCATTTCATGATGTATACGTATATCAAAACATCATATTGTACCCCTCAAATATACACAGTGCTTGTCAATCATACCTCAGTAAAACAGGAAAAATGAGTGTCTGCGGACGGTAGCATAGAAGGCTTTGGCCTCCCCTGACAGGAGTGTGCCTTTGTTCCCAGGACGATTACATGGAGGCTTTGGCCAGGCTCCACCTCACCGTGACCAGGGCCTACAAAGTGAACACTGACATCAACTTCGAGGTGTTTATTCATAAAGTCGATGGTCTGTCAGATGACCACAAGATTGAGACCCAAAGAGATATTCATCAGAGGGCAAACGATGACCTTGCTGATGCTGGATTAGAAAAAATTCACCTCAGGTGAGAACAGAAACCCTTCTGGGATCACAGTTCATCAACGGAAAGAAGCAGGTGTGGAGTCCAAAGTCAGCACAAGTGGTGTGGTATTCACCTGTTTACCCTATTTGTGCTGTACACATTGGGACAGTATTTGGGAAAAGCAAGCTTTGCATGTACTAATTCTAATTTTCGTTTTTGTTTTTTAAAAAAAAATGGCTAAAGCTAATTTTTCCCACCTATGAAAACCGTAAAACTCAAGAACATAATCCAGGAAGTTAATCAAGGCTGAAGTTTACAATTCTTAATAAATATGATAGTATTTATAGCCACAAGTAAAAGATAACTCTGAAGATAATTCAAATAGAAATACAGAGGAAAACCACTTGTCTATTAAGGTTTTTTTTGAGATTTTATTTTTAAGTAACCTCTACACCCAACTTGAGGCTCGAACTTAACCCCAAGATCAAGAGTCGCATGGTCTGTCGACTAAGCCAGCCAGGTACCCCTCTGTCAGTTTTTTATGGGGAAGTGTATGCATCATTCAATTTGCAAATTGGAAAGTGAAAATATTAGAAGATTCAATACCAGTAACATAGGCATTACTAACCTAACAGGAATGTGTAGACATGACCTGGTATGGATTCTTTTGCAGAATGTAAGGAAGCTCGTATGGGCACATACCACTGCATTTTTAGGCTTTCCAGTCCAGCCAGTCAGCATATGAGAATGGGCACAATTCTTGCTTTTTGGGAGCTAGGGAGGAATGGCTTGTTTTTCACCAGGGTCATTTTGAATTCTGAAGGGGGCTAGAATGCGTGTGTAGGGACAGTAGTATAGACCGCTGGCACTGGTGTTGTGACAGCCGAGGCAGTCTGTCCCCCAGTCAGAAGGAAAGTGTGATGAAATACTGTTCTCTCTTTCAGCTTCTATTTGACGAGCATATATGATCATTCAATATTTGAAGCTTTTAGCAAAGTGGTTCAGAAACTGATTCCACAACTCCCCACCCTGGAGAATTTGCTAAACATCTTTATCTCGGTAAGTAAATAACATCCTCCTGGTAGAATCATTTGCAGAATTTTAGAATAACATTGAGAGCGTGAAAAGAGTCTTATTTCTGCTTGCTCTTACGGCATTGCAGGGTCACTGAAGGATTACTCTGGAAGATTGCTCCAACACAAAACATGCTGTTTTATGTTCTTTAAACTTTCACTCCCCGAACCATTTCTGTTCTATAAATAGAGTGTTTGTTAAAGTCATAGGCAGTCTTCAATGTGCATAGAGCCCTGTGAGATCTAGGAAGCTTTAAGGGTGGTTGTGGCGATGAGATAGAGTCTGTTGAATATTTTTTATATGTTAAACCCTGTGGTTGATGCGCTGGCTGAATGAGTCCTATAGACCATCAGCTCTGGGCCAGCTCTGCTGTTGACTTGAGTCAGACTTGTTGGTTGCACTCATATTTACTCTGTCACTCCATAGTTTGGGGTTTGTTTAGATTGTTAAAATATATTTCATTTTAAAATTTATAGTCAGTAAAATTAGTGTTTTTTCTTGGTTTTCCTAACTGCAGGCACATCTCTAAGAGCCAGGAAACACAGCCCAATTTGTTTACCTACAATAAATAATTTATGAAAAATAAGAATTTTCCATCCATTATAAAAGTTTATGTGAGATTGAAATTGTCATAGAATAGAACAAAATCTTTAGTAAATTAATTTTTGCTCCTTCATATTTTACACTGAAGATGGCATGTAATTTTTTTATATAGTGATGACATGTTCTAAAATCATCTGTCCCTTTAAGATAGCATCATCTTTTTGTTTCAGAATTCTGGAATTGAAAAGGCATTTCTCTTTGACGTGGTCAGTAAAATTTACATTGCAACTGATAGTACCCCAGTGGATATGCAAACCTATGAGCTTTGCTGTGATATGATCGATGTTGTTATCGACATCTCTTGTATTTATGGGTAAGTAAAATACTCCTACAGGGTACGAACAGCCATACTTCCGATTAGGAAATGAAACTGTGCATAATCTTTGTAACATTTGCATTTACTTACTTGATTTTAATACTTTTGTTTTTTTTAAAGTATACTGAAGATAAGAAATGCTACTTTTTTTTAAAGATTTTATTTATTTGATAGAGTGAGAACACAAGGAGGGGGAGCGGGAGAGGGAGAAGGAGACTCCCCGCTGAGCGCAGAGCCCTCAGTGGGACTCAATCCCAGGACCCTGGGATCATGACCTGAGCTGAAAGCAGATACTTAACCATCTGAGCCACCCAGATATCCCAATATTTTTGTTTTAAATGACTGAGATCTGTAAATAAACAGCATGCCATAACAACAAAAATTATTGAGTAAATGCCTGACATTCTGCTAATAAGCATATTGCATACATTATATCATTTAATTCCCCGCTATTCCATGAGATGGGAATTACTATCCCCATGTCACAGATGGGGTAACTGAGGTTCAGAGTGGTTGTTTCTAACCCCTGCTCACACTGTCAATAAAGGACAGAACTGGAACTTGAACCAAAAGTCTGACTGTTTCTGTGTTCTTCTCCTGAAAAATCTGTCATCCTATCATAATGTCATACACACTTGGGAGAGACTAGTAGGATCCTCAGACTTTAAATACATATCTCATATTAACAACAGTTGTTACGTTCTTCACTGTAAGAAATAACAGCTGGATTTTCTTTAACATACTTTGTCTTCCTTTATGAGCGGCAGAGAATTACAAAACCAAGCAAACAACATTACCTGCTTATTATCATGGTCTTAGAGTCTTAGAAAACAGAACTTCCTGTACAGTTATAATATTAAAAAATAAACAAGGAGTGGAGAAAATTGATTCTGGTACCAGACATAGAAACATTTCCACATAATTTTTAATTTCCTGAATGGGATCGTATAGAGTGAACTAGTTTGAAGTTTGAACTCGTTTGTCGTATTAAGATCACGCTGTTGCTGTTGATTTATATGGGCTCTTACACGCTTATGTAATCATTGATGGGTAAGGCTCTTGTTCATCTTCCTCTTTACGCACCAGCTGTGACGTGCCTCACACAGCCTCCTCTGTCAGCTTCGGGAAGGGTCCCGGTCTCCCCATTTCTCTCTCCTTCTGTCTGAAGAGCCTTTGACCCCTCCGCTCAGATTCTTCTGCTGTATGCACGTGCACGCCGGGCCCTTTCTGTTATGAGACAGGGAGAGTGGTACTGTGAGCCTGTAGTGAGGGTGACATGTCATTGGGCTTCACCTGGTAGGCCCTGGATAAACGTAAATGCCACTATTATTATTTTGTTGTCATTATTAAACATTGCCATCTGACTTTAGGAGCAGACCTCATTCCCAAGATTACTGCCTTCTTAGTATTATTATTAAACACTGCCATCTGGCTTCCGAAATAGACCTTATTTTCTAAGACGACGGCTCTGTAGCAGTCTATTGTTTTAAAACTCAAGTGGATTGACCTTGAGATAGGGAAACTGAACGTATCCTGATTACAGTGTAGATTGCTGTGGTAATCAAATACAATAAACACAATTAATCTGGCACCTCTTTAATGATATGCGTAATCCTTATTGTGCCATATGGTAATTAGATGTAAGTGGTAAGCTGTTCATGTAATGATGCTAATCAGAGTTCCTCTAACCCAGCTAAAACAAACAGGAGGAGGGCGGCAGGCAGTGGGAGGAGTCAGATTGTTTTTCCTGAGAACCCATCAGGTGCCATAAGAACCAGTCTGGGTCACCAACTGGGCGTGGGCCCTGGAGTTTCCCCACCCTTCGAGGGAGGGAGCCACGAGGAGCCAACCCGGCTAACTGGCAGCCACTGAGGAAACAGCTCGCTGCCAGTTCCCAGCTGCTCCGTGGAGACCAGCAGGGCCCGAGGCAGGTGTGCCTTGGTCAGTTTGCTCAGTAATCTGGGGAGTTTCTGGCTCTCCAGGCTCGCACACGCAGGCTGTAAAATACGTTGCGGCTGCCTGGGTTTTCACGGCTTTGTGAACACAGACCTGAGTAGTAGTAGCACAGAGTTGCAGCTGTAATCCATCACCGGTGTTTACTTGTAGTTTTTTGGGTCTTTCTGGTTTCTCCAATTTGTTTAATGTTTCATTTTTTCTGAGTATGAATGCAGTCTGTGCTCACTGCAGAAAATATGTAAAAGCATAAAGAATAAAATTAAGGTAACCCGTAATCTCATCACCTAGAGACAGTAAATATATTTTATTGTGTTTTGTACTTTTTTTTTTTTTTGGAGATTTCATGTATTTATTTGAGGGAGAGTGTGAGTGGAGGAGAGATGCGGAGGGAGAAGCACGCTCCCCACTGAGCAGGAAGCCTGACCTGGGGCTCGATCCCAGGACCCTGGAATCATGACCTGAGCTGAAGGCAGATGCTTCACTCATTGAGCCACCCGGGTGCCCCTAATGTGTTTTATTCTTAATTTCTCTGTGTAATTTTTTTTTAAGATTTTATTTATTTATTTGACAAACAGAGATTACAAGCAGGCAGAGAGGCAGTCAGAAAGAGGAGGAAGCAGGCTCCCTGCTGAGCAGAGAGCCCGATGTGGGGCTCTATCCCAGGACCCCGGGATCATGACCTGAGCCGAAGGCAGAGGCTTTAACCCACTGAACCACCCAGGCACCCCTCTGTGTAATTTTTAGGATAATGTGATCTTTGTATATATAAATTTTATATGTATCCTGCTTTATGCATTTAACATTATCACCTAAGACTTTTCTTGTTATTAAGTGCCATTAGTAAATTTTCTTCATTAGGTAAAAAAAATTCAAAAGTTTCAGTTTATTGTTCTCACAGCATCACTTATTAGCAAGAGAAATTCAGCCTAGAAAAACAGCAGCTAAAAATAGTACAAAGGACATTAAGAATTCTGATAAAGCTTCTTTAACATCTGAGATCCAATCTCTTACGTTTTTCTTTAACGTTTTGGTAGGTCACAGTGAGTTGAATCCTTTTTCAAAAAACTTTCTTCCCCACTTTACTTGTAAGTAGCCATGTATGTGCTGGTTTAAAATATTCTCAAAACTAATAACTTATATTTCCTTTGAAATACTCTACAATTCAGGCTTTTCATTTAATCTGGTTTGTCACGTTACCTCTTTACGATATTTATGAGACTAAAAGCATTAACTCGGAATTAGATTAGTTTGAGATCCCTGCTCTACCCCCATCATCAGTTTTGACCAAAGTAGTTCCCCTAGCCTCGGTTCCTCGATATCCAGCTTAGAGGAGTCTATGGCCTGACGATAGAGAAGTCATGATAAAAGCTAAGAATGGTGCCTCTCACATTGTAAATGTTGGCTCTTACTCTGCAAAGGGATCAGGTTTAGCACCAGCCGTGTTACCATGTTGTATTAGTGAGATCTGGCATAGTTCCAATTAAGTCAAATTTCTGGTCAATTATTCATTAATTTGGGAAGTAAAAATAAATACATACACACACACACACAGTTTCAGATAAGGGGAACAGGTGCAGGGGAGTGCTCCTTTGCCTACAAGAAGAGGACTCATACGTCTGATTACATCAATGTCTTCGGAGGGTCCAGTTTTGATCATTAAAAGGCATCATCATTGTCATTGTCGTCTTCATCGTGGTTAACATTCATTGTGCATTTTACAGGGTCTCAGCACTGTGCTCAATGCTATATATCTATTATTTAATTGTACTGAGAGACTTTGAGGTAATTGCTTTTAGTATACAGGTAAGGGAATTGAGGCTCCAACATGTTACCTTGCTCCAGTTCACATAATAAGTGAGCTGGGGTTCAAACCCAAGTCATCTGTGTCTGCAGGCCACACCTTTTCTTAAAGAGACCAGTATATTTATTTACTGTTTTATTTTGAAAAAATTTCAAACCTGCAGAAAATGTGCAGGGATAGTCCACTGAGCTCCTGTATGATACCCTTCACTGGCATCCACCCATTTTTACCAATTTGCCATATTTACTGTCTCTTTTTCTGATATATTTTGCGGTTTGTTTTTGCGGAACCATTTGAGAGTGAATCGCAGACATCATGATTCTTTGATCCTAGCTACTTGGGTGTCTGTCTCTTAAAAAAAAAAAAGTCCTCTTACAGGACCATTGTTTACCAAATTAAGCATATTTAGCACAACTACAATATTGCACTAATATATTGTCTGTATCCAAATCTTTTTTTTTTTTTATATTTTATTTATTTATTTGACAGAGATCACAAGTAGGCAGAGAGGCAGGCAGAGAGCCCGATGTGGGGCTCGATCCCAGGACTCTGAGACCATGACCTGAGCTGAAGGCAGAGGCTTAACCCACTGAGCCACCCAGGCGCCCCCTGTATCCAAATCTTACCAGTGGTCCCTATTCTGTCTTTGATCCCTGATCCAGGATCTAGGGCAGTGTTTTGCTGTCATGTCTCCTTAGGCTTCTGTAGTTGGGAAGCGTCATTCAGCTCTCCTCAGTCTTCATCAGACCATGCTTTTGACAGCCCGGTTATTCTGTCAGGAAAAATCAAGAAGCCCTTACGGGCGATGGAGGGGAGAAGATCTAACCTCCACCCCTCACCCGTGTTGCACAGGTCCCTGGGGAGATCCCTCCTTGCCCAGCAGCCACTCTATGTGTCCCTAGGAAGGGACTGTCCTACACCATGCACGTTCTTGTGATTGTGTGTTTCGAAGACTTCTGCCGAAAGGCCCTGTAATTATAAACGACTTCTCGTTATGATTATCACTCTGTGTAGTGAAGCTGGTCTCCGTCGCCGGGTTTCATTTTGTAGTTTCTTCCCAGTGGTCACATATGTTCTGGTTTCTGTCCCCATTCAGTCTCAAAGAAGATGGAGCAGGAACCCCCTATGACAAAGAATCAACGGCCATCATAAAGCTGAACAATACAACAGTTCTTTATTTAAAAGAGGTGACAAAGTTCCTGGCTCTTGTCTGCTTTGTCAGAGAGGAAAGCTTTGAAAGAAAAGGTAATTGTGTGTGTGTGTGTGTGTGTGTGTGAGAGAGAGAGAGAGAGCTTTAAATGATTTTTTTTTAAAGATTTTATTTATTTGAAACAGAAAGAGAGATCACAAGTATGCAGAGAGGCAGGCATAGAGAGAGAGAGGAGAAAGCAGGCTCCCCGCTGAGCAGAGAGCCCGATGAGGGCCTCGATCCCAGGACCCTGAGATCATGACCTGAGCCGAAGGCAGAGGCTTAACCCACTGAGCCACCCAGGCGCCTGAGAGAGAGCTTTAAATGAAACCATTTCACTTCAGACTGATAACTGCTTCTACTGCTTGTGGATGGTGGGTGGTCGGCTGCATGCTTCCTGAAGCTTCCAGACTTGTGTCACAAGTCCCCTTGGTGTCCTGTCGTACCCCCCCACCTCGCTGCCACCCTGGGCTGTCAGACTTTTGGGATCCAGGAACCAGCCTGCCCTCTAGTGCTGCAGCTGCCATGAGGTAGAAGGGGCCCCAGGGGGACTCTGGCTATCCCTGGAGTGAAGCTGGTTGAAGCCTTGTTGACAGGCTGTAATGTCTTGCCACAAGGGCCCAGCAGCCTGTGGTGAGGGCCGCGGCCTCCCTCCTGGTCCACTCCTCTAGAAGGTCCTAGGGACGGTGGGACTGCTTGAGATCCCTGTGGAAAGGAGGGGGGACTTGTACAACATTAAAGCAAGACATATTCCACTTCTGTTCAACCTTTATACATTTAGTCCTCAAAACACAGGGCTGGCATCATGATTCTGAAAAGAGAAGATGTGAATATACTTAAGAAGTCACCAGTCAGTGAAACAAAAACAAAAGATATATAAATAAATGATAAATGTGACATAATACCATATAAATGTGTAATATATAAATATATATTATATATAGATATAAAACAGATAAGTAAATAAATATAGAGAAAATAAAACTAAAGCAACTAAACTCATAGAGATACTCATTTTCCCCCTTCTGTTTAAACTGGGAATTTAAACTACTACTTAATTTTTTTTTTTTAAAGATTTTATTTACTTATTTGGCAGACAGAGCTCACAAGTAGGCAGTGAAGCAGACAGAGAGGGGGGAAGCAGGCTCCCCGGCGAGCAGAGAACCCGATGTGGGGCTTGATCCCTGGACCCCGAGATCATGACCTGAGCCTAAGGCAGAGGCTTAACCCACTGAGCCACCCAGGCACCCCTACTTTTTTTTTTTTTAAGTACTATTTAAATTTAAATTACTATTTAAAACAGCTTACTGACATGCTAGGGATTTTTGGTAGCAACTAGGGCATGATTTACCAGTTTGGGGGTGTAGAAAAATTCCCAAAAGAATGCCATCGGTAACATTTACTAAAATAGCTTTTCCCCCCTTTATAAGCATGCATGTTCTTTATAGAAATACTTTGAAAATTTGGGGAAGTACAAAGAACAAAATAAAACCACTCAATTTTGCCGTCTAGAGCTAAATTCTGTTACATTTTTGAGATTTTCTTTCTCCTCCTTTCCTCCCTCCCACCTTGCCTTCTTCTCTCATCCCTCCTTTCCTGCCAACAAAAGGGGGCCAATATTGTCTATTTTGTTTTTGTCAGACGTTTTATATCTGTTGTTTTCACTCATTTATATCATGGAAATTTTTCCAAGTCATTGAGCATGAAAACATAATTTAGATTTTTATTGTTTCTTATTACAAAAGCAGTAGATTCGCTTAAAAATTTAGAAGTAACAGATAAGCAAAAAAGAAATACCTAAGTTCTCAGTCGGAAATCACTCTCAACATTTTCTTTACAACTTTTTGGACTTTTTCATCTGTGGCTATGTCTCTATCCATATGTGATGATATGATAAATACTGTTTTGTAACCATTACTGAATTACAGTGAGGTAATTACAGACATCTTTCTAATTCACTAAGCCTTTTTTAACCATATCATTTTAGTTTCTTTTATTGTTAAGAATTTATATTGTTTCTAGATTTTAATGTTGTAAATAATCTGTGATGATGATCTTTGCACTGAATATTTGTGTACATTTTGGTTATTTCCTCAGGAAAAAACTTCAGCAAGTGGAATTACTCAGATCCAAGGGCAGGGTAGGCATGTTTTGGTGGCTTCTAATACATATTATCCAAATGTCCTTCCAAAAGATGTTACAGGTTTCTGCTACTAAGAGAATATAAGTGTGTCCGTTTTGCTGTATTCCTATCAATATTAGGTATTAGCACTAAAAAATTAATTATTAAAAATTAGTATCATTTGAATTTTTATTTCCTTGCTTCTTGGTGAAGTTGTATATTTTTCCTATATTTACTGACTGTTATAAACCAGTTTGCCTTTTGTGTTCTTGGCCTTCAAAATTTTTAATTAAGTGGTGCTAATCTTTTATTCCTTAGTTTCATCTTGCTGGAAGTAAGAACAGGTTAAATAGTAAGCTCGTGGGATTTTGACAGGACAATACCTGGTTTCATTCTCTCAGTTATAGATGATTTTACCCAGACCCAGGAGCTGTAAGTGAGTTTTTCTTCAAGTTTCTACTACCAGTGTGTGGCAGTCAGAGCTAAGATTCCTGGGCTTGTCCTTACACAGACTCAGTTGTGTGTATTGTGTTTTAATCCATTATGCAGATATTTCCATGGTTAAAGATCTTTCCAGAATTTATATTTGGTGATTAATATTTCACATTGATTTTGGAAGCTAAGTAAAATACAATGCAAATAGTACAACTAGAGCCCCAAAACCATCTAGGTTAGTGGCAGGTCCTAAAATTTAGGGTATATGAGTGTCAACCTGGAGAGCTTGTTTATTTTCAACTGATTTTAGACTGAATAGAAACATTGCAAAAATACTACATCGCTTACAGAGATTCCTCAATCCACTTTCCCCATCTTACATACTAATGAAAAATAGGGACTCTCCATTAGTATAATACTAATTAATAGTATTAATGAATTAATTAGTATTCATTAAGAAACTACAGACCTTATTCAGATTTCACCATTTTTCCAAAAATACCCTTTTTCTGTCCCAGGATCACAAATTGATTTAGTCACGATTCCTCCTAGTCTTCTCTCATCACTGATAGTTCTTTATCTTCCATGACCATGACACTTTGGAAGAGTACTAATCAATCGTTTTGTACAATGTCCCTCAGAAAGGGTTTGTTTGCTGTTTCCACACAGTTGGAACAAGATTATGCACTTTGACCAGAATGTGTCCTTCTCAGTGCATCATATCAAGTGGTTCCTGATGTTGCTAAGTCTTATTACTACTGGTGGTGTTGACCTTGATTTAGTCAAGGTCATGTCTGTCAGGTTTTTCCTCTGGAAAGTTCCTGTCTTTCCCACTGTAGTTAATACATATTTTCAGGTTATGTAAATCCTCTTCCTCCTCAAACTTTTGCCCACTAATTTTAACATCCATCTGTGGTTGTGGAAATAAATTTAAGCAGGAGTTTATTATGTGGATCTTTGTAAGGTAGGTGAGATCATCTCTAAGGACAGACAGATTTGGTAGAATTTATTAAACTAGCTAGAAGCCTAGGTATTTTAATATTACAACTAGGAAATGGCAGACAGATTTAACCCTATCATGTTAAACTCGTGTGCTTTTTAAAATGATTATCTCCATTTGCCTAGGATGGGAAGGGACCTTCCCCTGATAAGGGGAATATCCCTGGCAAAAGGAATGACTTGGTAACCCTGGGGATCAGGGAGTTGTCTTTAAAAAGAATTTAATGCTTATAAATATGTAGAGTAGTTTGGTTTTGTTGCTTTACTTTTTCTTCTTTAAAGATTTTTATTTTTAAATAATCTCTATAGCCAGACTGTGGCTCAAACTTCCAACCGCAAGATAAGGGTTGTGTGGTCTACCAATTGAGCCAGCCAGGTGGCCCTGGTTATGTGGTTTTAATCTCCAGTGTTGTAGAGTCCTCTTGGCGCCAATAACCGACACTGGTTGATTAGCTTTGCCTCATGCTGGGTCTCCGTCTGAGTTTTCATTAATGATCTCTGTGACTACTTTTGCAGAAAGGAGAGGATCGAAAGCAGATGTGGTGTTTTCAGCCTTGGCTCCACACACACTCCACAGTCCTTGCTCCATAGGCACCTTAGGAAGGGAGGCAGTTAAAAAATACGGACCTCTGGGTCCTCCTCCAAACAACTAGAATAGAATTCCTGGGAGAGGGGCCTAGGGTTTGTTAAATTTTTTAAAGTTCTCTGGATTTTTTTTTAAATATATATATTTTAAGATCTTATTTAATATTGGACAGAGAGAGACATAGTGAGAGAGGGAACACAAACGGGGAGATAAAGAGGGAGAAGCAGGCTTCCCACAGAGCAGGGAGCCCGATGTGGGGCTCAATTCCAGGACCCTGGGATCATGACCTGGGCCGAAGGCAGATGCTTAACGGACTGAGTCACCCAGGGGCCCTGATACTGTTACATTTTAAAGATTTTATTTATTTATTTGACAGACAGAGATCACAAGTAGGCAGGCAGGCAGAGAGAGAGATGGGAAGCAGGTCCCCTGGCCAGCAGAGAGCCCGATCTGGGGCTCCATCCCAGGACCCTGAGACCATGACCTGAGCAGAAGGCAGAGGCTTTAACCCACTGAGCCACCCAGGTGCCCCAACATTTTAAGTTGCAAAGACGAGTAAGTTAATATTTGTCAGGAACTGTCAACAATACTTCTGCAAGTTGAATTTTCACTGAGCCAGTTTTTCTAACTAAGCTTTCTTCCTAAGGCAGTTGGTTGCATGTAAAAGCAAAGAATTGGAGGTTGTTCTCACATCTCCTATCCCAGTTTCCACTGAATAAAATCATCTCTTTGCTTCTTGTTTATTTTCTTTTAATTACATACTTTATTTGGAAGATGGTCCCAAGAAACAAAAATGAGGAAGTGGGAAAATGAAACAAGGTAGAAAAGCCACCCACCTTGGCGTCAATGAGCAGTTTTATGTTCACTCCCAGTACGAGACAGTCTCTGAGAAGCTGTGTGGAACAAACTCAGTCACCCCAGTTGAGTATGGGAGACTGCAGCACTTACCCACCTTCCTCCGTGCCCCCGTTTAAGGTGCCTTCAGAACGTTCATTCCCATATCCCTCGTACCTGTCCATGTGCAGTGGAGGAAGTTCTGTGACAGCCTCAGGCAAAAAAGAGATGCTTCTCTTTCTTTAAGATTTTATCTTTAAGTAATCTCTACATCCAACGTGGGGCTTGAACTCACAACACTGAGATCAAGAGTCACGTGCTCTACCGACTAAGCTGGCTGGGCGCCCCTGGGCTTACTTATTTCTTACTACTTCCCCGATTCCAGTAGTGTTGTCTGAGAGGACTTGGAGCTTTTATTGCACTGTGGTCAGTGTCGCTTCAGAAGCAGCAGAGGGCGCCACTGAAAAGGTTTCCTGCTTCTGGAAGCTGAGCTAGTGTTCCCTCCAGTGCACTTGCTGTTGTTTGACTGCTTTGAAGAATTTCAGTCCTTGGCTGGAATCCCAGTTCTTTTTTATTTTGGTTGGGGCTTTGGAAACATTACTTCCGTGGATGGAAGCAGTTGTTGGGCTAGTTATTTTAATAAATGTAAAAATAGTACATCGAACCAACTGCCTTATCCTAATTGGTATAAACATAATGTTGTTCTCAACACTTTTACAAATTAGTGTGCTGAAAAATGCACTCAAGACTTGGGATTAATCTTTTATTCCATTCTTGTACCAATGATTTCAGAAAGCACAAAATGATTCTCCCCTACTACGTCTGCATTTGAAATTTACTTAGAGTTGAGAAACTGAGAGTGTTGGTTGAACTTCTGAGCTTGCTGTTGACTCGAGGTGACCGCCACAACTCTAAAATCAGGGACGGGGATCTTGCTTTCCCCAGGGCTTCTGACAGTGGCTTAAATGTAATATGTATTCAATAAATATGGATCGATAGAATGATGGGTACTGAAGCTTTGAGATCTTGGCCACACTTCGAGTCAGGGTGTGCCTCTAGTCAGAGTCAATTGAATAATCCCTTTTGGCGAAACATAATATTTCATGGAGGATATATCTAAATTGTAAGAAATCTTGAATTCTGATAGGTCAAAAAATTCACTTCAGTTCTTCAGTGTTGTAGGTCATAGACACCTTTGAAAATGTGGTCTGTACTCTGGAACCTTCCCTTAGGAACACATGTACATTCACATCTCGCCTGCGATTCCTCAGGCAGTTGCAACTTCTAGGGAAATCTGTGGATGTTCTGTTAAGGCCGCTCTTCTGCTTCCCCTTAGTTGCTTGTCCCTGCCATGGCAGATACGACAAGAGGAGATTCTTTCTTTGTTTCTTTCCTTTTTTTTTTTTTTTTAAAGATTTTATTTATTTATTTGTCAGAGAAAAAGAGTGAGCGAGCATACACAAAGGGGGAGTAGCAGGCAGAGGGAGAAGCAGGCTTCCTATTGAGCAGGGAGCCCAATGCAGGACTCGATCCCAGGACCCTGAGATCAAGGCAGATGCTTAACCGACTGAGCCACCCAGGCGCCCCAGGAGGGGGTTATTTCTGTGTGACATGTCTAAAATATTTTGTTTTTTCCCCCAGGGCTTATTGACTATAATTTTCATTGCTTCCGGAAAGCTATCCATGAGGTTTTTGAGGTGAGGATGAAAATGGTGAAATCACGAAAGGTTCAGAATCGGCTGCAGAAGAAAAAAGGAGCCACCCCCAATGGGACCCCTAACGTGCTGCTGTAGTGAGGCTTCGGGAGTATCTCTGCGAGTCAGACCTTGCAGTGAGGCTCCTTTGCTGTGTTGCACTAAAGGAAGAGGAAAAAGGAGATTGGGACACATGACGTATTTGTTGTTAAAAAAAAAAAAAATCCCCTCAACCCTCTTGATCTTCTCTTTTTTAAATAAAGTGAGCACTTTGAAGCCGAAACTTGTATTTTAACAATGAAGTAAAATCTACTGTAATTTCGTTACACAAATGTAAACTTTTATGGTCTGTAGTCAGAAACTCCTGTGTGAGGACTGCCAGGAACTGTATATATTTTGCTCTTTTTCATGTTTTTTTTCTTTGAACTTTGATAAAACGACTTTTCTAAGCTTTTTTCTGTACTTGGTGTCAAGGACATGCATACTATAGTGTTGTTCAGATCTCTATGGCTTTCAGAAATCAAAAAGCAATGAACTGGCAATGATTTTTTTTTTTTAAATAAATTTGGGAATCTTTGCTACTAATTGTTGAGAAAAACCATTTTTCAGTGGAGCTGGAACAGATTGGGGCAGCAAGCTCCAGGAGCAATAAGAACTGTCTCCTGTTTATAACTGGTGTAAACGGGAGTTTTGTAGAATAATATTAGCACCAAATTTACCTAAAAATGTCACTAGCTGTGCCCGGACTTCCCTACTCAACAGTTTTTACAAAGCTCTTTACCTCAACACACATCTCTATAATCATTTTATACAGAGAGGTTGGTCCTTCTTGCTGCATTACTGTTCTTTAGAAACTTTGGGACCAGATTTCCAAAATGGTGCCAATCACTGGAGAAAAAGGAATGTTGCTGAATTTCAGGGTTTCTGGAGGCTTTTCTGTACCTGCCACTGGGGCTGAAGTTACATCAGAGGTCACATGGTTTCCCAAATGTAGGTGATGGGTATTCAGAGATTTAAAAATGGATCTACAGTTTGTATGTTTGGCCCCTGTGAAGTGGGCCTATTGTGCAACATTTAAAATGTTTATTGAGGATCATGACCACAGGGAATGTCTCAGATCTCTACACAGAGCATAGCCCTGGTAAGCTCGTTTGTCACCCATTAGTCTCCTGCTCAACCATGACAGTGTGCCTTGTGGACTTTGCCCATTCCCACCTTAGGGTTGAACTAGAACTCAGCCAGCCAGCAGCACACTCTGCACAGCTGAAAAGCTATCCTGCAAACATCTAACTATCAGTGGGACGAGGACGGCCAGAGGAGACATCACAGTTAGCTGTGTGTTCGTTTCTGTGAAATTCTCCCACTTATGTTTACTTTACACTTTCAGGATGTTAAGGGACTCCTAAATCTCCCCTCACCCCAAACCATTCCTAGTAGATAATTCTCTGTCCATTAGGTAATTCTATATCTGTCCCAAGGGTCAGTGCCCTAAACCCTGCTTGTGAGTATTGGAGAATAATGTTATATACTTATTTATTTTTAAGCAAAGACTCATAAGGAAGTCAAAGCTGGTCCTAGCAAAATGTACCAAGTTCCTAAAGCAACTTGCCCTTGAAACTATCCCATCTCTATCTGCGGCCTCCTTCCATCCTCCCTCCTTCCCTCCCCAAGTCCTATTCCTTTGAGGCTGCTAACTGCCATGCAAGATGGTAGCTGATTGAAGTGTAAGGTTTGAGTCCTCCCAAGGGTCTGTGCATTTTGGAAGGAAATTTCTAAAAATCATTAAGGCGCCCAACTCCTTCATGATTCCTGCTCAGAAACCTGGGTGGGTAGGAACCCAGGGTTCCAAAGGAAACTTTTCCTTAATTTCTAGACCTATATCCTGTTGGATCTTTGGATCTTTGCCAACAGGCTTGTTACATATGGGTTCTTCTTACAAACTTAATGTTCTAATATTTTTTACACAATGTTTCTTTTTGATTAAGCAAATAAGGAATCACTTTTCTAATGTGACTTTATCCTCAAGGTAGAGACACTTGCCTACCTGGTAAATGACACATTGCTTAGGTATATATTACTGTAACCAGGAGGAACTTCCATTTTTAAGCTGGATATATGATGAGTTTTTGTTAAAATGTGCCTTAAAAGTCTATAACTTCAGGAGCAAATGATTCTTTGGGGGAAAAGCAAAAACAATCGTATGGCATAGGACCTAAGTTCATGGTAGTAAGTGCACTCTTTGGTTGATCACACACTAATACATAGATTCCTGCCTCAAACCTGTAAGAATGGCAATGACCTCTTAGTTAAAGACAGATGTAGGAGTTATGTCTAAGTGTTCAGCTTTTTAAGTCTGTGCTATTGGAATTACAAAATCTATTCCTTCTGCATTTTATTTTTGATATGGAACATAGCTTACTGCGATGTGTATGGCCATGTTTAGGTTTCAGATCTAATGCTATAAATACAAAGTCCAAACACATGGCTACAGTGACTTCTCTGGAACATGTTTGCTCATTTTCAAAGGTTGAGAACTTGGCCTACAGGTTTCTAAGGCAATCAGAACTTCTATGTGGAGGTGAGACTGTGAATTACCCTCTTGGGTTATTTTTAGTGATATAAATGAGTGTGTATGACCAGGGTAGAGTGTTTTTGAAAGAGTATGAATTAAAAAAAAAACTGGTTGGCATTCATGGACAGTGTTCTTTTGTGAGCATAATATATTTTGGGCCCTTAAATATAAAATGACTAGAAACACAGCAATATTGTTACTATACGGGTTATTTGCTAACTCTTGTTTGAGACATACTCCAGAAAAATGGCTGAACTGTCTTGATTATTAAAGTATGGTATGCATTTAACTTCTATAGACTGTTCGTAATTTTTAATCAAGCATAGTATTATGTTTTACTTTAAGCAGGACATAATTCATAATTATTGCTAAAACATTGCTTTCAAGAATGTTAACTGCCAATTTAAAAGCATGTGTCATGCTCATGATTTGGTAAGGCTCTCGTTTCATTTCTGACATACTCATAACTAAGCATTCTGGGAGCAGAATATTCTCTTTGGTAAAGTGGCCCATCCTGTTTCTGAGATTGTTACCCATATATGAATATCATTGCTTCACTGGCCCTGTTGGGTCCCTTTAGTAAAATGTTTGTCCTGATAGAACAGCTTTCATCTTGTGGAAATGAAGATAAATCACTCTATTTGCACTTCTGTATTTATTTTATTTTTAAATCCTCCCTTTTATATCTCCATATTTTTCATGGGAACATGGCTGTTTGGAATATAGAACTGTTGTTGTTTTTTTTTTTTTTTTTTTTTTTTTTTTCAGTAAACTTCGGACACTAATTCTTGCTGCTCTTGTCCTAATCCCTAACCGTCTGGAAATTCTTTTCCAAACAGGCCACCTTATCGATTCTGACTTGCTTCATAGGGTTCCACTCTTACTGACTTCTACGGATCCCTAAGAGTTCCCAGAGAAGACCAGCTTTAGATATTATATCTTATATACAAAACTCTGTGTCTGATTGGAAAACCTGATCTAAAATAATATTTTTCTACGATTTTTAATCAGTAATGATGTTGAGTTTAGGAGGAAAAAATGTCTTTGACAGAATTACTTCCTGGTAATATACAATGATTGAATGAATGCACATAATATTTCAGGTTCTCAAATGCTTTTATGGAAGTTATCTTCATAACCCCGAGAGGTGGGTACTATCATCACTCCTATTTTAGAGATCAGGCAACTGAGTGTAGAGAGTTGAAATAACGTGGTCAGGATCACATAACTAATAAGACACAAGGCTGGGAGTCTGGTTGGAGAGTTCACCCTCTCAATACTGTTTTGAGCAACTGTACCACATGTCCCTTTACATGCCCTGACTTCACAAATATGAAGATGGGAACTTGAAGTTTAGGATTTACTGCCGCATGGGGTTATGAAGGCTAAAATGCTGGGAAATTTAAAAAGAAATACCTTTTCTCACAGGAGAATGAGTAAAAGCAGCTTTCTAGAGGTACTTCACTCAAGATTAAGCGGCCTTCTTCGCAGTCCAACACGGAAAATAATATTAAGAGAGTATTTAAATATCAGAAGAGAATTCAAATACCCTTTCCAGACATTTGGTTTTCTTTTTTTTTCTTTTTTTTTAAGATTTTATTTATTTATTTGACAGACAGAGATCACAGGTAGGCAGAGAGGCAGGCAGAGAGAGAGGAAGGGAAGCAGGCTCCCTGCTGAGCGGAGAGCCCAACGCGGGGCTCGATTCCAGGACCCCGGGATCATGACCTGAGCTGAAGGCAGAGGCTTCAACCCACTGAGCCACCCAGGCGCCCCGATATTTGGCTTTCTGAGAAGCAAAAGTATATCAAATTCTGAGAAAATCAAGAGAGAATAATAAGCCTTTGATCTTAGCTGTATTCAACCTTTTACTTCAATATGTGCAACCATATGTATAGAAAACAAAATTACAGAAAACAAAAAATTGGATTAAAATTCAAAAAGATCCATTTCAATCCCAACATTTTCTTGAGCTGCAGACCTACCTTTAAAATTGCCAGTAGCATATTTTTGCTGGAATCTTCCATAAGAGGACCCTCCAATCTAATATGCCCTAAATCAAACTCACTTCCTTCTTGCTAAATCTTCTCCTCCTTTTATGGTGGTGTGACTATGCTCCCTGCAGTCCCTGCCAGAAACGGGGGCCTCCTTGACTCTCCCTTCCTGCTCATTCCATCCAATCAACCACCCAGTTCCCTCAGCTCAGTCTTAGAAACACATTATTCAATCTATTCTCTCCATCTCGTTTGCCACTATCCTGGTTTAGGGCACCATCTCCTCTTGTCTGGATCTTAATAGCCTCTCAACTAACGTCTCTCCACCTCATCCATCCATCCTTTCATTCCGTTCTCCACACAAGACCCAGAGTGACCTTCCTAAACCCCCACCATTCTGACCACATCAGTCTCTTGCTTAACATGGGTCATAGCTCTCCATTACAGATATCAGTCAAACTCCACAAGAACGTTTGCAAGAACCTGCCTCTCCAGTTCTTACCTCCCTCCCCAGCCATGGCTCATCCTCCCCCAACAGAGGTGAACCAGCATGACCGTATGGTGTGTGGTAAATCAGAGGAACCATGAGTCTTGCTTCCTTTCTTTTTGGTCATTTTCTGAGGGAAATGATCATTTTTTTTCTTCATCAGTGACTGATAGGACACCTATTATGTGTGAGATGTTGTGCTTAATAAAAAGGCAGATTTTAGAGATGCAAGGATTTTAGGAATGAAAATAAAGCACTTTATAGAAGTGTAGGAGTTAACCCTTCATGGAATCCATTATAAATTCTTTGTTGTTGTGAGCTGCAATAAATACAATCCACATTGCAAACTATCACATACTTACACCTATAAATAATACCTTTTTTTAAAAGAAGATTTTATTTACTTATTTGACAGAGAAATCACAAGTAGGCAGAGTGGCAGGCAAGGTTGGTGGGGGTAGCAGGCTCTCTGCTGAGCAGAGAACGCAATGTGGGGCTCGATCCCAGGACCCTGAGATAATGACCTTAGCCGAAGGCAGAGGTTTAACCCATTGAGCTACCCAGAGCCCCTAAATATCACTTTTTTAAAGAGTTTATTTTTTAAATTTTTAAAATTATTTTAAAAGATTTTATTTTTAAGTAACCTCTGCATCCAGCGTGCGGTGTGAACTCATAACCCTAAGATCAAGAGTCACACGCTCCACCAACTGAGCCAGAGCCAGGCACGCCTTGTAAATATTACTTTTATTTTTTATTTTTATTTTTCTTTCTTTTACGTGAGCTCTGTGCCCAATGTGGGGCTTGAACTCATGACCCTGAGACCAAGAGTCACATGTGCCACTGACTGGCCCAGCCCGGTGCCCCACAAATATTACTTAAAAACAAAACAAAACAAAACTCAAAGTAGTATCCTTCCTACATACAATGTGTTCTAGTATTTTTTTTCTTTATTTCTTTTTTAAAAAAGATTTCATAATCCACTAGTGGGTCATGACCTGTAATTTATGAGGCATTGCTGGAGTGAATGAATCCATTGGCCAGATCAGAGATATCTGAAGATTTTCTTTTTAGCCTAAAATATTTTCCTTCCCTCTCTGTTAATTTTATTTATTTGTTTATAAATCACCATTAGTTTTTCTTTTTCTTTAAAAAAATTTTTTTTAAAAAGATTTTATTTATTTGAGAGAGAGAGAGAGAGAGTGACAGAGAGCATGAGAGGGGAGAAGGTCAGAGGGAGAAGCAGACTCCCCGGGGAGCTGGGAGCCAGATGTGGGACTTGATCCCGGGACTCTGGGATCATGACGTGAGCCAAAGGCAGTTGCTTAACCAACTGAGCCACCCAAGCGCCCCTAGCTTCTCTTTTTTAAAGATTTATTTATTTTAGAGAGAGAGAACGTGTGTACACATGTATGGGGGGGAAGGGACAGAGGAAGAGGGAGTAGAGAACCTCAGGCAGACTCCCCCTGAGCACAGAGAGTCCTATGTGGGGCTCAACCTCATGACCCTGAGATCATGATCTGAGCCAAAATCAAGAGTCAGACCCCTAACCAACTGAGTCACCCAGGCACCCCTCCCTGTATGTTCATTAAAAAAAAAAAAAAAAAAGATTTATTTATTTATTTAAGAGAGAGATTGTGAGAGAGAGAGAGAGAAAGTATGGGGAGGGGCAGTGGGAGAGAATCTCAAGCAGACTCCCCATTGAGCGCAAAGCCTGATGTGGGGCTACCTGAGTTCATGACCTGGGCCAAAATCGCACGCAGGTGGCACAACTCACTGAGCCACCCAGGTACCTCCCCTTTTCTGTTAATTGTACAGTCTTAACAAACATAGGGAACATTCTGAGAAGGTTCTTGAATTTCTCTTTTACTTGATCAGGGCTTTCTGCTGTGTTCCTCAGAGCACTTCTAATTTCCATTGCCATTCCTTGGAGGTATTTGTCGGTGGGTTGTGGGGGATCCATCCTGGCAGGATCTTCTTTTACTATAGACTCTATCCTCAACTATAATAAATAATTAACTTTATTTTTTCAAAGATTTTATTTATTTATTTAGTGAGAGGGCATGCACATATGTGGGGTGGGTAGGGGCAGAGGGGGAAAGAGAGAGGGCATCTCAAGCAGACTTTGTGCTGAGCACAGAGCCCCACATGGGGCTCAATCTCACAACCCTGCAATCATGACCTGTTCCAAAATCAGGAGGCTGACACTTAACTGACTGAGCCACTCAGGCGCCCCAGTAATTAACTTCACTGGGAGTCTAGGGACTCATAAATTTATATCTAACTTTTATGGATCCTTTGTTCATTCACACAACATTAGTCTTAACCAGTATCAAGAATCCACAAGTTTTGACTTTTTGTGTTGTTTTGACACTCCCAAGAAGCAAGTGGACAAGGCCCTTCCCCATGAAAGGGAGTTAAGCCATTACACTTAGTGTGTGTGGAGGAGAGCATCAACCAGCTGCCTGAGGTCTTGACCACCGTGCTTCCTCAATCTGTACTAAAAAGCTTTTGGGGCAAGGAGGATCTTTCTGGTCTCCCAAAACTGCGTAAAAAAACTAAGGCCTGGGGTGCCTGGGTGGCTCAGTCATTTAAGCGTCTGCCTTTGGCTCAGGTCATGATCTCAGGGTCCTGGGATCGAGCCCCATGTCAGGCTCCCTGAGCAGCAGGGAATCTGCTTCTCCTTCTCCCTCTGCTCTTCCCTCCTGGTCCTGCTCTCTTTCTCTCTCAAATAAATAAATAAAATCTTAAAAAACAATAACAACAACAAAAAACAACCAAGACCCTCCCCCTGAATGCCCAACTACAGTAGAGC